GGGGGGGGGGGGGGGTTGGGGTGGGGGGGGGGGGGGGGGGGTGGGGGGGGGGGGGGGGGGGGGGGGGGGGGGGGGGGGGGGGGGGGGGGGGGGGGGGGGGGGGGGGGGGGGGGGGCGTGGGGGGGGGGGGGGGGGGGGGGTACTTAGCGCACGCGTGACGAAGCATGGAAGGGGAGTAAGGGGGGGCGGGGGGGGCGTACTTTAGCGCGCGCGGGCGAGGCAAAGCATGCTCTCAAAGGTACAAGTTACAAGAACATAGCGGTCGCGGACGCATTCTTGTAGCACTACGTAAGGAAAACAATAATCAAACAATAACCAAAAAATAATCAAAAAAAAAATAGTACACCCCTGAATCCCTGCTCTTGAAATGACGACCAAGGGCTTGTTTTGAACTGACACGCAAAGGAAAACGCAGCGAACTAGTACATCAAGCTACTACATTCCTAGTCCAAGAATAGTCAACAAATAGTCCAAGAATAATCCAAAAATAGTCCCAGAATAGTCAAAGGATAATTCTGGCGCGGCTTCAATGGTTGAAAACCATATCTCCGAGAAGTCCCCGATGACAACGTGCGCCGACAAAACTTACGACGCAGTAGTCGGAGGGGCTATTCTTGTGGAACAACACGCAACACAAATAGGCACAGGGACTATTCCCACGGAAACAGAAACCGCGGGAGCAGGAACACGCTGAATTAAATGCTATTTAAAATATTATAAAAATAACCCGCGGACTATTTTAATACGATTTGAAATAGTAGTTAATTCGGTCCTTGGTTTTCGGCGAACGCGCGAATAGTCCTGGTGGCTATTTTTTTTTGTTTTGCGAAGGGCGCTCGTCGGAATAGTCCCTCTGGCTATCAGGAAGTCGAGCGATGATGAGGAAGAGGGGGGGGGGGGGGGGGGGGGGGGGCGAGATGGACGGAGGGACAGGGGGAGGAGGCGGAGGAGGAGGATGGGGAGGAGGAGGGGAGGGGAGTAGGAGGGATGCTGAAGCGGAGGAGGACGAGGAGGAGGAGAGAGGAGTGGGAAGAAGGAGGAGGAGGGAGGGGGGGAGGCGGGAGGGGGCAGGAGGAGGGAGGGGGGGGGAGAGGAAGGGGGGATGAGGCGGGAGGGAGGGAGGAGGGAGGGGGAACGAGGAGAGGGGGAGGATGGGGAGGAGGGAGGGGGAGGAGGGGGAGGGGGGCGGGGGGGAGGACGCGGGAAGAGGCGGGTGGGGAAGGGGGGGGGAGAGGGAGGAGGAGGAGGAGGAGGAGGAGGAGGAGGAGGGAGGAGGAGGAGGGAGGGGAGAGGGGGGGGAGGAGGGAGGAGCAAGTTTGACGAACTTGAGAGAGCTGTAAGATGGCCTCGAGAGGCCTTCGCCTAAGGACCCTATGCAAGCCTGAAGAGCCTACTGAGCCTACGCGCAGTTTGAGCCTTGAGAGCCTACAATAAACACATCGAGGCAGCTTCAGAACCTGAGGAGTCCAATAATCTACGACGCACTTGCGAGCCTAAGGTGCCGAAGAGAGCCCTAATGTACAGGGAGGTCCGAGGTACCCTGACAGAGCCTAAGAGGGCCTCAAGGGCCTGATGAGGAAGCTTCCCCCCTTCCCAAGAGAGCCTCATGTTCAAGGAACCCTGAAGAGCGCCTTTAGGGGCCTCTAAGAAGGCCTCTAGGAGCCTTTAAGGGCCTCTAGGTCCCTAGGGACGCGTAGCGTGTCTGATATTGGGACGCGTAGCGTCTGGCTAATATTGGTACGCGAAGCGTCTGGCTGGTATTGGGACGCGTAGCGTGTCTGATATTGGAACGCGTAGCGTGTCTGATATTGGGACGCAGATTTCAACAGTGGCGGTGCGTAGACAACAAGTGATGGCCAGGCGCCCTCGGCGGGGCGAAGCAACAAAATCTCTCGACGAGGCCGTCCTCGACGAGACAATCAAGGGATGCAATGACAGGCGCCAGGGTGTGCATGATGTGCTAGACGAATGCATATGTACGCCATGCTCTGTATTATATGACGCGTTGTGTATGTTGCGTATGTATGATATACTGCGCTATGCGATGCCATGCGCTATGCTGTGATGTGCTGTGTATGCTATGATGTGATGTGTATGTATGCTATGCGTGTATTATATGCGTGTGCGTGCTGTGCTGTGTATGCTATGCTGTGCTGTTGTGTGTTATGTGAACACTTGTATGCACGTGCATTGGCCGTTTGCCATGTTCGGTTTTATGTCTTACGTGTTTGATTGTATCGTGCCCCTTGGACGCACCATCATAAAAAACTCAGGCTCTGAGTCGGGCTCAAGTGCAAGATTCTGCGGCCTCTCTGCTGCGAGCAGCGCTGCAGCGCAAGGCCCCGCAACTTTGAGCCTGTCACGCACGGCCCTTCTTGGAGCATGCGGCTCATATTCCTCAGCGGCGCGC